AGTTAGTGGTGCCTCGAGTCATCTCTAGAGAGAGAAAGAGAGAGACGGGATTTGCATCAACAGAGCCAGCAGCCTGCTTGAAAGGCTCAGGGAACAATACAGCAGAGCAAATGCTGCAGGAGGTTGTTGCCAAAAAAGAAAAGGGGAAAGTCAATCAGAGGCAGAGCCGTGCACTTCAACTGGCACTGTTTGCGGCAGTTAATGTTCCAGAGCCCCCTCTGCCCATTTTTTCCCCATCGCGTGCAGCAAACAGTTTCCCCAAGTTCCCGCTGACATGGCTTCCCCTACTGAGAGCACTTTTCTCTTAAAAGGAATCATAATGCACAGCCCAGGGAGACAAGAGAGCGTGCCTATCATAATCAACTCAAGAGACGCTATTATTAACCACCAGAGCACACACTTCCTGTAGCTGCAGAGACTCAGACACCCGCGAGTTGCAAATTCAGTGTCTAGGTTAGAAGGGCTCGAAGGTTTCCTTTCCTTTCTTTTTTTCAATGGTGGAAATTAGTTCCATTTCCCATCTTTGTCACTGACAAGTTTCTCACCCAAGGCTGAAGATTGGTGTAGCATTTTAAGAGAGGTAAAGGAGGTCAGACACCTTGCGCTGTTGCTGCCTTCCAAGAACAGACTTCCTTCTTCTTTTCTGTTCCGATGAGAACTCAGGGAAGAGGCAAACAGCTCTGCAGGTTTTCAGCATGGCAGATGTGGGGATCCTTTGTTCCACCACATTGGCCATGCTTGCTGGGGCTGACGGCAGTTGTAGTTCAGCAACATGCGAAGGGCCAAATGTTTCCCACACCTGCTGTATGGCAAGAAACAGGCATTGCTGGACTGGGATCAGAGGGAGAAGATGATGTCAGAGGTGGACCATAGGCACCTGGGTGAAGTGCCATGAGCTCTGAGGCAAAACCAGTAGTCAGGATTGAGGAATAAGTCAGAACCATAGAGAAAACCAAGAGGCAAGGAAAGAAATCAGAAGTCAGGCTCATAGAATATCACACACACACACGGAAACACCAGAGTTTAAGAAGACATTGTTGTGCAAGTAAGGAAGTAAGGAAGCCCTTCTATATCCCTTCCTGTCCAGAAGGATACAATGAACAGCCTAGTGGACGGAGTCAGACCAGGGGCTAAGAACACTGAAAAGCTGCAACCTACAGTTTGGAGGTTACCCAGATGGAGGCGCTGCACAAAAATCCAGCAGTTCCCAAATAATGGAGAGAGCAGGTAAGGGAACAAGTAGCAGTGGCACAGAGGAGGAGGAGGAGGAGGAGGAGCAATTGATACCATCCAGCAGCAATTTCAGGAAGGGCCATAACTCAGTAGCAGAGAACCTGCTTTGAATGCAAAACAGCCCAGTTCTAATCCTGGGTATCTCCTGTTGGGATAATTAGATAGCAGATGATGGATAAAGCCCCTGGGAATTGCTACCAGCAAGAATAGACAATTCTGGGTTAAATGGAGAAGTATGATCCAGCATAAAGCAGCTTTCTGTGTTTGTATGACCTTCATTGGTGTCAGGGCTGGGCAGTGGCCAACAGTCTAAGGTAAGCCAGAAACCAGGAGCCATGGGACAACGAAATAGTCAGGGGCAAAGAGCAAATCCAAAGCAAAGGAGCCAGGCTTGAGGAACAAGCTCAAACAAAGGTCAGGACCAACAGACAAACAAAGGATGCAGGGAAAGTAGTAGTGCAGTGGTAGGGCATCTTCTTTGTATATAGAATGTCCCGGGTTCAACCCCTGGCCTCTCCAGGTTGTCCGAAACTCTGGAGAGCTGTAGCCAAGTGCCGTAGACAACACAGAGCTGGATGGATCAATGGTCTGTTTTGGTATAAGGTAGCCCCACATGTTCCTACAACCCTGGAGTATTAGTAGTAGTTTATAAAAGAGCCTTTTAAACATCCCTACATGCCACCTTATTTCCCTGAAGACAGATAATTAAATAAGGAATAATAAGGGGAGAGGGGAGAGAAAGGGAGGGGGAAATAAAGATGAAGAAAGCACAGGAGAGGGAGAGGGAAGGACAAAGAAAACATACCAGATGGTCTGTAATAATGCTTTCTTTTAATGCTGCATATATTTGCACAAAATGTGCCCATATTTCTTTACACCTCTCTTCCATACCTAGATTTTTATATGCTACTCTCTCCTTGTCTTCCAGGTCCACTAAATCTAAGATCCAGGTAATCTAATGTCTGGTTGAGTTTTGTCTTTCCATTGATGTAATGCCTGTGTTTAAGCAACCAATGCAACTCTTTTGATTCAAGCCTATTAGAAGATTCTTCACGTCCTTGTACTCTCAGCATATAGAACGAAGTACTATCCTATTATGCTGTGGTCCTGGGACTCACAGGGCGGTGGTAGTAATAAACAGGCCAAGTCAGTGCAGATAAGCAGGTCAGAGCAAAAGGCAGGGGAAAATTAGGTCAGGCAAAGATCAACAAGTCCAGGCAGGTATCTCTAAACAGATCAGGACCCTGGATAGCTCTCGGCATGCCTTACTGGATGAGTTTTAGGAGATGATGTCTCAGCCAAAAGCTGGAAGCATCTGAAGCCTAATGCAGCCTGGCAAAGCCTAAACTGCACTTGGCTCCATCTACTTGAGGGGGTGGAAGTGCCAGTATAAAAGACATGTGTACAGTTCTGTAGGCACTGACTTATATGCTGTGAAAGAGATGGGAATATTATCAGAGGGTCATCCTTCTACTCGGAAGAAATTGGGGGAGCTATGTCCTTAGAGCAAGAGAGGGATAATGAGGGTCTTCCCACTAAATGGAGCAACCCTTTAGGAGGTACTAGTTCTTGGGAGGAAAGCGTAGTATTTCCCTTTCTGCCTGGGGCACCGGGGCAGCCTTACCCATCTTCCCAAAACCCATTCAGATTTAAACATGAATACTCTTGGCCATAAATTATAGACCATGGGCACCAGTGGCTGATAAACCACTTCATCCCCAGCCTTTTATTAATCCAACCTGCTGCCAACAAGCTGTGACTGTTCCTTTACTCGGTTTCTGAAGCAATGATCATTTATCAGTTTAACGTGGCCCCTGTTGGTGAACACAACTGTAAATCTGGATCGCAAGAGCCGGCTTCTGTCGGAAAGATTCTCTCTCTTTCCCTTTGCTGTCTCAGGTTAGTCGTTAACACTTGCCTAATTGCAGGCATCAGTGACAGTAAACACATCCAGCTTGGAGACAGCCAAGGACTTAAGGAACTTCATAATACCTTCCCAGGTAGACAGACGGACAGGTACTTAAATAGCTTCCTTGAGCCTCAAACAAAGAACATCCCTACTGTCAGCTTCCAGACTAAGCCACTTTTGTGAACCACAACACTTGTAAAATGCAAAGTGACTCAGCTATTGATTCTCAAAGTGCCAAAGAGGAAGAACACACAAGCTGCTGTCTGAGTCTTCTCTTGACCAGGCCAGCAGGCTGCATAGCAACTAGCCACATCCATGCCTATTCAGTGCAACATAGGGGACTGCAGCAATTAAAAAAAACCTGCTAGCACATTTGCAAAGCTAAGCAGCGTCCGGTAAGGTTTCAAATTGGATGGGGGACCATGTATTGGGATTCCTGCATTGCAGGGGGTTGGACTAGACGCCCATCAGGATCCCTTCCAACTCTACAATTCTATTATTTTATCTGTGAATGAGCCATAAGATATGAGGGATTGTACACACTCCCTTTCTCATCCTGACCCATTTACTCTTCCAGTCTTCTCTCTGCCTGTCCCACCTCTCTTGATGCCATACACTGGTAGACCTTGGCAAGGAGCATTTCTTTGGCCATTATTTGGAGCAATCCAAATTCAGATAGCTAGGCTAAGTTTAAAGATCTTAGAATTCCAATTTAGGTACAAAGGCAGCTGCCCCGTAACAGGTGAAGCTATTTGCTCATCTAGCATATTTCTGTCTACTCTGACTGGCAGCAGCTTGCCAAGAGAACAGCAGAGCAAATATCTTTACGTATTACCCGATCCTTTTAACTGGAGATGTGGAGGATCAAACTTGGGTGCACTACCACTGAATTACTGTCCCCACTCCCTCAGTTTGAAGGTCCATTGACCATCTTCATTAAATTAAACTGCACAGGTGTTGGCGACATGCCTTGGGCTTTCCAGTGATCACTTGCTAAGTGCACATCACCAAAGCCATTTTGGAAATTTTCCATGGGCACGGGCTTTTGGATGGATAATGCTTGACGCTTATGCTTAGCATTGCTAGATCAATGTACAAACTGCTATTGCCTCAAGCCTTTTGCTTTTGCTATGGTCCCAGCCACAAACACCTAAAACAAAGCTGCAGTCCTGCCCCTCCTTTTCTTCAGGCTGCATCTGACTGGCAGCTTTGCAAGTTGCTGATTTTAGCAGCTAAGAGCGCAGGAAGCAGAGCCGCACAGAAAAAAGAAATCAACTAGCAGGCATGAGGTTTGGAATTACAATATTGTGTGCAGGTGAAGGACTGTAGCTCAGCAGTAGAGCATCTACCTTGTATTCAGGAAGTCCTCAGGTTCAACCCACAGCATCTTCAGGTAGGATGGAGAACATCCTCTATCTGAAACCCTGGAGAGATGCTGCCAGTCAGATTGGCACTAATCAGGTAGATAAGATGAACCAGTTGTCTGACTCAGTATAAGGCAGCTTCTAAAGTGTCTGTGTTTTGAGGGAAGGGCCATAGTTCAGTGACAGGGCATCTGATTGCATGAGGAAGGTCCAGATTTCAAGCCCACAGCATTTCCAGGTAGATCTGGGGAAGGCTCCTGGTCTGTGTAGATTACGCTGCCAGTTGCGGTAGACTATAGCAAGTGACACAGAACAATAGCCTAACTCTGTATGTAGTAGCTTTCCTATCTTCTGATCCCATGGGCAAGAATGCATACTACCCTGTAGGCAACTCATCACTGCTCTGTTGTAGAAGATGCATTTGGGGTGGTACGGCAACTGGTTTTCATGGTACAAGGAAGCTCACTGAAAACCAAGATAATGAAAGCTCCTACCTGCACACTTTGTCCTGCTGATGAGGGGAGGCCCAGGTTTGCCAGTCCCTCCATCCCCTGGCCGGGTAAGCAGGACACTGATCTCATATTCCGTATCTGGATCCAAGTGCCACAACTTGTAGGTCTGCATGTTCACAGCATGAACCTCCGACCACGGCCCAGAGGTCATTCGGTACTCAATTTCTTTCCTTACAATGGGGCCATCTCCGATGATGGAATTGGTGTTGAGCTGGATGATCAGGTACGTCGAGCCTGCTCTCAGCAGCTGTGGGGGTGCAATGGGCGTAGGGGGCTCTGTCCAAAAGGAGAGAGAAGTTGTTACTAGAAGAGACCATCACACCAGCTTCAGATGGTTATCAATAAGAAAGTGGCTTACTAGGACCGCCTGTCCCCATATGAACTGACCCAGACACTACAATCATCATCTGAGACACTTCTTTCTGTGCCTCCTCCATGAAGGGCTTGGAGGGTGGCAAAAGGAGAACAGGGCCTTTTCTGCGGTGGGTCCTCACTTGTGGAATGCTGTCCCCAGGGAGGCTCGCCTGGCGCCTCTGTTACATATATTTAGGCACCAGACAAAAACATTCCTCTTCTCCCAGGCCTTTGGATAATTAAACAATCTACGGCCTTTTGAACCTGGGAGTTGGGGTATTCTTTCTGTTTGCTACCATGGAATGTGTGTTTGTGTTTTGATATTCTAAACTGCCTCGTGATCCACAGGTAAAGGGCAGTATAAAAAATTAATTAATAAATAACAATAAAGACAAGGGACCACAACTTTGCATGTGGTAAGAAACAGCTGGAATCTCCTCTGGTGGTTGGAAAGAGGTTCCCAGTGTTCCTTATCTTCTCAAAAGCAGCAATGGAGGTGAAACCTCAAGGTTTGTGTGGTTCTACACTTGAGCCATTGATCCCTGGCCTTCTATGATTCTGTATCAATAATGTACCAGTGGTTGGACAAGATGGCTTTCAAGGTCTCTTCCAATCGAAGATTCTATGCTCCCCATAATGGCTCAGTCTAAGCAGAATCAAGGTGGCATGGAGCTCATTGTATACCTCTTCTGTTGCCCTCTATGCGTGCCCCCCCAACCCTCCAAAAAAAGTTCAGCAATGTCAAAGCAAATGGGTACACTTAAGGTGCCGCAGTGTTCCATCTAAAATAATTGACACTCAGCTGCACCTGTCAAAATAAATGAACAAAGGACATGCGACAAAGGCAGATTATTTGCTTTCCCTCCCCCTCCTCTAATAGTTTGTGTTCACTGGCTTGCAAAATCCACCCATCACCGAGAGTTTGGGAGGGTTTCTTTGCTACGTGTGCACAGCAGCCAAGACTCTGCAGTGTCACGCCTGTCTGTTCCCAGCTTCAAAGCACTTTTCTCAGAGCTTTGGTTCAGTGACACAAGACATGAGTTGCAGGGCTTGGCAAAACCACCATCCACTGCTGAACTGGAGTCAAATCCTCCCCTAGTTCTTTGCATTCCAGGACTGTCTTCTACTGGTATAGCCCTAAGCCAAATACAACCCTCCTGACACTCACTGCTGCATACCTTTCACAATCAGTTCTGCAAAGTTGGAGACGCCAGAGCCCCTGCCAGACTGGGTAACGCAACGGTAAAAGTCCTGGTCTCCGTTGGAAACTTTATCCAGTTGAAAGGAAGCCAGGAATCTCCGGTGGCTGATGTGTTTCACGGAAGCTGCCGGGACAATTGCTCCATTCTGCCTCTGCCATCCAAAAAACAAGAATAAATGGCTTCATCAGGAAGAAGTCATTGGATTCTCTTACGTTTCTTGCGGAGCTAAGATCTCATTGGCTCTCGCACACAGTTCCTTTTACTCCATGAGCCTCCCATGCCTTCCTATTATGTGCCCAATGCTGTGGTTTCTCTACCTGCCTACAAGGTCACACATGAGAAGTACATCTTAATTTAGGATGCAACAACATTTTCATGGGTGATCACTTTCAGCATGAAAAGGGGAGTTTGGGAGGGTGGTATCAAAATCTTCTCCAATCTCCCCCTCAAGGTTTTTCATTTTCCCCCTGTTTGTGCAATTTCTCTCATTTCCCCACCCTTTAAAAGAGAGTTATTCTTGGTGGATGCATGTTAACCAGTTGGGGATCATGCAGGGAATATACAGATCTCAACATTGCCAATCAAATTTGTCACAAAGCCAAACCAGAATGGGGGCAATACTTTCTCCTCTTACTCTAAATAGGCTCTTCATTCTCAAACTCCACCAAACTATCACCCAAACAGAGGGATATATTTGCATGTCAAGACCCCGAGGCTACCCACCCCCCTTGATGAATAAGCCACAAGGACACAGTATATTAGGTTAATGGTTATTGGGCAAATTTAGGCCACAACCTTATTGGTTACAGAATGTGAGCTGTATTGGCTTAGGCACTGGAATTGACCCGACTATATCTGACTCCTGCCTGCCATGCAGGGAGTCCTGTAAGGCTCAACCACCAATAGGGGGAGCACCGTCGATGCAAACCAACTCGAGCTCCCCCAGGGTTTCCAATGGGGTCGTGGCCCTAGCCCCTCCCTGGGCTTTGGACAAGATCCACACCCTGGATTCCTTTAATGGAATACCCTTAAGATTGGAGGGCAGGTGATGGCCACACCTCCCCTCCCCCAAACCAAGTTCTACCAATGCCTAACTGCCACTTGAGTCAAAGGCTCGCCGCCAATACCCTCACATACATGCAACCAATCTTTTACGCCCTCTGTAATATCAGCCAACCAAACATTGTTTCCCCAGTCAGAAAGATGTATGCCATCAACTCCTCCCCACCCGGAAGTGGAGCAGATTTCACACACTCCTTTCACTTCAGTCCTATCGCAATCCTAGTCTTTCACAGACCCTCACTTTATGACATATTGTTCATTGCACTAGAATGCTTATTTCTTTGTGGAATGGTACAAGCTAAACATGGAGGCAAAGGGTGTCTGGGGGTAAAAAGAAGCATCTCTCTTCCTCTCAAGCAAATAACATTTCCTGCATGCCTAAAACTGGTTGTTTGGGCTTCGAGAAATTGTTTACCTAACAGCCATCCTTCTGTCCAAGCTGAAAGATGGTCGGCTCACAGATGATAGGAAGGAGTTTGCCATTGAAGTACAACTGGATGGCAAGCCAAATTCTTACCTAACTCTGATTCTTTCCCAGGATTAATGGGCACATGCTATAGGTAAAGGGACCCCTGACCATTAGGTCCAGTCGTGACCGACTCTGGGGTTGTGGCACTCATCTCGCTTTATTGGCCAAGGGAGCCGGTATACAGCTTCCAGGTCATGTGGCCAGCATGACTAAGCCGCTTCTGGCGAACCAGAGCAGCACACGGAAATGCCGTTTACCTTCCCCGCGGAGCAGTACCTATTTATCTACTTGCACTTTGACGTGCTTTCGAACTGCTAGGTTGGCAAGGAGCTGGAACCGAGCAATGGGAAGCTCACCCCGCCGCGGGGATTCGAACCGCCGACCTTCTGATCGGCAAGTCCTAGGCTCTGTGGTTTTATCAACCATACGGCACCAGGAACTAACAGGACAGAGAAATCCCAGGTTGTTCTTGGGCAGTAATCTTGGTAACCTCCAACCCCACTTACCTGCATAAGGAACCTCTCTGCTTCAGAAGCCTTGCCGGAAGCAACACACTGGAAGGTGGCGTTCTGACCGGCATTCACCTCCACATCACCCAGGCGGGAAAAATGAGGTGCTTTAGCTGCCAAAATATGCAATGAGAAATAAACCCATAGAAATCCCTGGAACTGAATGTCCTTCTCCCTTCCTCCCCTCCCCTCCTCTCATACGCACATTATATAGCTGCATGCTATCCAGAAGGTCCCAAGTTGAACCCGCTGAATTACAAAGCAGCACTGGGGGGAGACTCTTGCCTGAAATCCTGGGGAGCTGCTGCCAGTCGGTGTGGACAGTACTGAGCTAAATGGACCAATAATGTGACTCAGTATAAGCCGCCTTCCTATGTTCCTTAGATCCAGCTGCAGTCCAGTCAGCTACAGTGCATGGAATTTGGAGAGGATCCTATCTTGCCCTTCAGCTCAGGCAGCAAAATGTCTTGAGGTGGGCCTTCTCAGTCTTCCTCTGTAATATGGGCATAGCTATCCTGGCCAAATTTACAGGGCTGTGGTGAGGAATGTGGAGAGCACTGGTAGAGCTGAGATAAAATTGCCTCACCAAATGATATATCATGATGTCGGAAATAAGGATGGGGCTCTGTTAGAGGCATTGGCTGGATTCACAGTTTCCCCCATGCTGCGATTTCTGCATAACACACACACGCACATACACACACACACACACACACACACACACACACACAATATATATATTGCCAGGTCAGAAATTATGAAACCAACATCACAATATGGACTTCAAACCAGTTTTGGATGATATATCAACTAGCCCTAACACACATCATGATTTGTGGTATATTGCCAGGTCAAAAATTATGAAACTGATATCACTATATGGACTTCAAACCAGTTTTGGGCAATATATTGATATATCACCCAGACCTAGCCCCAATTTTGAGCCAAAGTTCACATGTTTATCCCTAAGACAGAAAATATAAAGCACTTACAAAAAAGCATGATGGAATTATCCCAGGTTGTATCCAGCTTTAGTCCTACTCAGCATAGACCACTGAAATGGATGGACATGACTAACTGAATGTCAGTGGGTCTATTCTGAGAAGCACTTAGCCGGAGAAAACCGTGAGTGTTATAATTTTGTTCCAACTGTTTAGCCCCGAGATAATATAATATAAAGCGCTTCAAGCACTTATGAAAGGCATTACCGAAGAAACAGCGAGCATTACTATCACATGGAATTCTATTTGGTTTCGAAATAGAAATTCAGGCAAGAGGAGAGGAAAAAGGAAGAACAACACATAAGAATACAAAAGGACTCAATGTGAGAAAGAAAGGAAAGAAAGGAGTAGCTCACAAACTAACCAGAGAGTTTGGATGTATAAATTAAGCAGATGAATCCTATCTCCAGGCCTAGGCTATAGCAATACTTACAGCAGGGATAGTTCAAGAGCAGGATGTCATCCAATCCCAGGTATCCTCTGTGTTCACTGGAGACCACTGCCTCAAACAGGACCTGAGAAGGAATCAGGTACATATAGATAAACCCTGTCACGAATACTGGAAGCTGCTTTATTCTGAGCCAGACCATTAGTCCATCAGTACTGTCTACACTGACTGGCAATGGTTCTCCAGTGTCTAAGACAAGGTTCTCTTCCAGACCTACCTGAAAATGCCAGGAATTGAACCTGCAAAGTAGGTACTCTACTTCTGAGCCACAGTCCCTCCCAGAGAATTCTAATAGAGTAGGACTGGGAAACCTAGGGCCCTCTGGGGAGTGTTGTACTCCAATTTCCATCAGCTCCAGTTCAGCATGACCAATAATCAGGAATGGTGGGAGATGGAATCTGGAAACAACTAGTGGATCATACATTCTGCACTCTTCATGGAAATGCTATAGACCTGGGACAGCAAAATCCAATATATGTCCGCTTCCACTGAATTCAACATGGCTTACTTCCATGGAGGTGGAAATAGGGTTGATTGTAATTTAATTTTTTAAGTTAAAACAGAACATTTCAAAACTCCACAAGCATCATCTATGGGTTTGTATCAAACAATCTATTTTACTTCTACTAATAATAATAATACAGTGTTACCTCGGGTTACAAACACTTTGGGTTACAGACTCCGCTAACCTGGAAGTAGTACCTCGGATTAAGAATTTTACCTCAGGATGAGAACAGAAATCACGTGGCGGCAGTACGGCGGCAGTGGAAGGCCCCATTAGCTAAAGTGGTACCTCAGGTTAAGAACGGTTCAGGTTAAGAACGGACCTCCGGAATGAATTAAGTTCATAACCTGAAGTACCACTGTAATAATACCATTTTATCCCATGCTTCCTCCAAGGAACTTGAGCTATCATCCATTATTTGATTGATTGATTGATTGATTGATTGATTGATTTGCCTATCTATAACCTACTTAGTCCATATCTAAAGTCCACAGGTTAAAATCAATTGAAGGTCGCCATAGAATTAATACACACCAGTAAAAAGAAATAAGTAAAAAAAGAAAAAAGAAAACCAGGAATAACAATCGGAATAGAACAATTGGAATAGAAAATTCCTTATCATAGCAGCAAAAACCTGCAGCAGATTACCATATCCAGCAGCAAAATATCAGGTTAAAAATCTAAAAGCAGAACAAAAGCCAACCAAAGGCTTTCTGAAAGAAGGTCTGTGGCCAATTGCCTGAAGGAGGGACAGGAAACCTGTGACCCTCCAGATATTGCTGAACTCCAATGCTCATCATCCCTGACCAATGACTATGCTGATGGGATGATGCGAGGAGGTATTCTGCAACATCTGAAGGACACAGTCTCCCCATTCCCGGTCTAAAGGAATAAAATGTTGGGGGCCTATGAGGATATTCTACACAGTCCACAAAGAAAAGCAGGAAGCTGTTTTACATATGTTAAAACACTGTAAATCACTTCAGGGTGTCTCACTGGAAGAGATTCATACATTCAATAAATAAATGATGGTGGTGGCGATCAAGTACAATTTTTAAAAGATTAATTACAGAGTGCATGATTTGTTTTGTTTTTAGCCTCCTCCTGCCTGCGTAGCAGAGAAATCCAAACCCAAGCTTCCTCCTGAAAAGTATTTCTCCACTTACCTGGTACTCATTGGGCCAAAACATGCTGACGGATAGTTCCACTTGGTGCCACTGCCGCCCATGGGAGCCAGAGACATTCCACACCACACTGCCCAGTGGACCTCCATTCACCTTCACATAGACGTTCAGGGTCCCTGGGCTGTGGCCATCCCGGCTGTACATGAAGTAACTGAACTGGAGGCAGTGGGTGTCGTTCTCACTGAGTGTCTGGAAGAGGATGTGAGCTTTCTGACCCTGAGCATGTTGAGAGGAGTTGACCATCAGGTAGGACCCTGCAACAGAAAGAGAGAAGGAGACTATTGAGCGTTCCTTCAGCAGTGCATGCATCAGAGACTAGGTTTGTGATAACAAGTGGTTCATGCAGGTTCCCCATCACTTTGCCTGCTCGCCCCACTTCAAACACCACCAGGTAAGTTGCCCATCTGATAAACACCTTTGCCTTGTCTCATGAGTCAAGGCTAGTTTTTTACAGGATTAGGGTTGGAGGAGAAATTTGAATCTGTTTTTTTGTTTTAATGAGAAACTACTTAATTCTCACTTCTCGAACCGATTCACAAACCAAAACGTTATCCTAAGAAATGCATGTTCCTCCAAATTTTGGGATGCAGCCAAACAATATGTACAAAAATGTATATATTAAGTGGGAAGTGTGCATCGAAATGCATTACATTTGTGAAAATAACATACAAAAATGCATTATATTAGGGGGAAATTGCTTGCAGAAATGTCTATATTTGTCAAAACAACATCTGGAGGGCCAGAGGTTCCCCACCTCTCATTTATAGAATGTAGAAGACATTCGTCCATTTTTTTTACCTGAGGAACACCAAGACGACAGCAATAAATGTCTAGCCTGAGATCAGTTAGTGAAGCCAGGGCACAGAATACTTAAGCAGAAATAACAATCACAAAGACAGCATCTTGGAGCACATGCAGAGGATTTTTTCCCAACCACTAAGCTACCACAGAGTCCCCCCCCCTACCACAGAGAGAGAGAGAGAGAGCACAGACAGCACAGATCAGAGCCTCAACAGCTCTTCTCTCTTTTTGGGAATGCAGCAATAATCCCACTTCTGCTGCAAGTAAATTACAACCAGACAACAACTCCCAGAGTTCCCTGTAAAGAGGGCTTTTTAAACCACTCTGCAAATTGCAGCTGTGCAAGGGGAATAAGGGTCTCCAAAAAAACTCTCAGCACTCTTATTAAACTACAGTTCCCAGGATTCTGTGGGGGAAACCATTGTGTGTCGAGGTCCCCAGGGCCACCCCAATAACTCACACATCACACCAATATTTTTGTTTAAGGTTTTTGGCATAATTTTGGCCACAACTTTGTTAAAATAAAAACATGTGAGCGGTTGCTTAGGCATTGGTTGCAACTAGCTGCCCCCACTGTGGGGGACAGTCTGACATTCCGCACGCCTGCGAAATTCAGAAAAGGAGAATACACTTGGGGCTAGTGACGGAGCAGGGAACCTGCCCTCAGCCCACCCCAAATGCAACCAGGAGCTCTTGCAGTGGCCCGAGCCCCCTTGACAGGGTGGACAAGCAATAGTTAGCCCCCGATTCCTTTAACGGAATCCCTTGCAGCAGCAGCATTAGAGGGGCAGGCACAGCCAATCCATGCCCCTCAACCAACCAAACCATAAACCAATGCCTAACCACAACCTTACAAGTTGTGACGATTTGCTACACAGTAGACAAAAACCAAATGGCCCCAGCCAGTCAGCCAGATGGACAAAATTCCTACCGGGCCCCTGCCCCAAGAGCAGACAGCCCCATGACAGGCATAGCAAGGTCAAGCGAACAACCCTAATTCTAGGGAGGGGGGGACGGGCAATCCGATGCACGGGCAAAAAGAGGAAGCCCTAGCCTCGTGCAAGGAGTTTTAGCATTTCTGGCTGTCAATCAACAAATGGCAACATTAACTTCTTCCCAACGACAAGGGAAGCCCAATCGCATCAGTGGCCAACAATCAATTAGCCCGCCCCACAACTTTGGAGTCTCCTGGCGGCCCCCACCGCAACACGTGCTCTCCATGAAGGAGAACACGCTATACTGTTTGAAGTAGTATAGTAGTGGTTTAAATGTACAGTGTGACTGTGACTTCAGTCAGTCTACTGAGTCCTGAGAAATCTGCAACTGCACAGCAGTTGAGGCCTGGCTGACAGGAAGGGATGGCTTACAGGAAGATGAAGGCAATGGGAGAAGGTAATTTTGGAATCCAGAACAGATGGCTCCCCCCCCCCCTTTGTGGCAAAGCCATTATTAACAACACCATTATCCTAAGTCTGTATTATCAATCACAATGGGGCCAGAAATTGTCATGCAAAATCACCATAAAAGGGGGAAAAACCTAGTATAAAAACAACCAATAAAACAGATGTAAAGCAAAGCAAGTTGGTGATAGATGCTATCATATGAACAAATTGGGTCTCCTTTTTATGTTCTGAAAATGATTTTGAGTATAATCACTTATAAATGCATCCTATTAATATCAGTCTCTCCCTTACAGCCCAAAATTGGAAGATTAGGTGTTTATGAAATTATAGCAATGTCTTTTATGGCAGCTATAATTTAATTTGTATCTTTTGCACAAAGGGCTCAAACATTCAGCCCATCTGGATTTTTGGAGGCCTCCATGTAGATCTCTCTCTCTCTCTCTCTCACACACACACACACACACACACACACACACAAACGCACGCACACACACACACAAACAGACACATACACAGAGAGAGAGAGAGAGAGAGAGAGTCCCACCTTATCAATATTATTGCCACTTGAATTGTAGCCAAATAGACCATGATAACTATTTACAACTTGCCTGGAAACTCGCTAGCTGCTTCCCTTCAGCTTTTATTGCCTTGACACTCCTATCTCCACCTGGATTTAAGCCATTTATTTTCGAGTTCCGCCTCTTCAAATCATTTAACACATAGCTGCTTCTGACTTTAAGCAGTGCTCAGCAGGCTGTTAGGCAGTTCAGAGGCCATTAGCATAACAAATGCCATCGCATCTCTGAAGCTCAGCTTGGGGGAGAGCCCGTGACAGGGATTCAGCTTCTCCCATCAAGTATCTGCAGAGGGTTTCCCCCCATCCCACTCTTCCTTGCACTTTGGGACCTCCACGGCATACCCTCCAACGTTTTTGTCCCCAAAACTGGGACATCAGAAGGGTTGCGCCAAAGCACCTTCCAGTCTGTCACTCTGGCATGAGTCAAAAGGGGTCAGAAGGTGCTCTGGTGCAACCCTATTGACTTGCACGAGAGTGAGCATTTTTTGGTCTGGCTCTCTGGTGCAAGGACTCACGCCAGAGTGCCAGGCCAAAAAAGGGACATTCCATGATGCAAACTGAAGCCAGGATGGGCTTCTGTGATTCAAGGATGTCCCACTTAAAATAGGACAGTTGTCAAGATGGAAGGAAGAAACAACCCCGACCAGAGAAGAATGGCAAACCAAGTTGATGGACTATGCCAAAATGGCAAAACTAACTGGGAAGCTCAGGAAACGATAAGACAAGAAATTTAAAAAAAGAAAGAATGGGAAATGTTTATAATGCATATACAAAATCATTGTAAGCAAGTCAAAACATTAGCAGGATTTTAAACACACTTGAAATGTAACAGAATGTATAGATAATCTGGGAAGATGAAAAATTGGAGTAGTATTGATATGCAGTTGAAAATAGAATCAGTAGGACCCATGGAAGGGGTGGCAGGGGGAGGTCAGGAGATTCAGAGTAATCATGAGAATTAGATTTGGAATTGTTTTTGTTGTATGTTTATATTTTGGAATATCAAAAATGTATTTCTAAATAAATAAATATAAATAAAGGACAGTTGAGGGGTATGCCTTGCCTATCACAGGGTCTGTGGCACATACCCCTCAACAGTACAGGACATTCCCAACAGGGGGTGGGGGTTTTGCTCTCATGTAGGTCACATGACTCACACAAGAGCATAGCCTGGAAGACGTGCATCCCGTTTTTGCGCTGGGACACGTTGGAGGGTTTGGTGGCACCATTCACATAATGAAAACGACTACAGAGATATCCACAGTACTTAGCTGATGGGGAACCACTGCTCTAAATTATTCCCCCATCACTGGATGGGGAATAAATTGCCAAATATATATATATACACACACACAATTACATGTATATGTAATTGTAACCTCAATACTGTTAGGATATTTCCGTTCCACCTTAAAAGGGAGCAGGCTTTCTGAGTCAGAGTCTGCGCATGTCCTGTTCACAGGATGTTTATGTTTTCTATTGCTTTCGTTTCTCTCTCTGTTGGAGACACTGTCGCAGACAGTCATGTCTTTCTTTGTTCTGATCAACGCTGAATAAAAGCTTGTAAATAATGCTCTCCTGAGTGCAACTTTTGGCTGTGCATTATCTGGTGATAAAAGGTGTGCATGAGCTCCGGAATGAGGCAAGATATTTCAGGAAACTCGTGTCACTAATCACTCATACTGCGTGACTACGGGAGATTGATGGATCGTCCGGCAGACGGCTTGGGCCATGATGGACTTTACCTCCCTGGCAGTATCCCACTGCTCTAAATTATTCCCCCATCACTGGATGGGGAATAAATTGCCAAATATACACACACACACACACATGTATATGTAATTGTAACCTGAATACAACACACCAAATGTGTCCTGTGGATTAAAAGATCACATGTGACTATCTCAGAAATGGAAGCCATCTTAGGTCCCATCTGCACTACACGGTATCATATCAGTCATGGTTTCCCCCAAAGAAGTCTGAGATGTTTGTTTGTTAAAGGTGCGGGGAGATTTTAGGAGACCCCTAAACAGTCAAACTGCTGGGAATTGTAGCTCTGTGAGGAGGCTAGAGGTCTCCTCTCAGAACTCTTAACAAACTACGCTTCCTAGCACAGGAGAAGCCATGACTGTTTAAAGAAGTATGATACTGCTTTGAGTGTTTAGTGCAGATGGGGCCTTTAAAGGCACCTTACTCAGACACACCTGGTCAGAATAACCTGAAAATGCAACAGACAATCAATCAACCAACCAATGTAAGCCCTGGATTCTGTAAGTTAAGTAAAACAATCCCATTTATATAAATCTAGAAATGCTTTCTTGACAGTACCCTTTTAAATTTTAATCGCATTTACTCATTTGATTCATTTAATTTCCATGAAGCCACATGGACGCAGGTTTTTGTTTTGTTTTTTTAAAGAATCATTCACTGGACAAATTCCAGTTTTGGCCGAATGAAAACAGAGCAATTAAAC